AACTAGCCAGAAGATTATGTGAAATCTAGCACTAGTTATCATCAGCAGAAAACAAAAAAACTCTAAAAAATAAAAAGTTTCCTCTTAAGAATGAGATTGTTTTTGAGTTAAGAATAAAAGATATGATTGTTTTGTAGTAGTTATGTATGAGATAGCCTTTACACAGAAAATTTTCTTTTTATTTGTCTTCTCTGTTCCAAGTTATTGCCTAGTGCCATTATCAGTTACTAGACCTCTTCATGTGGATTTTATTGCTAGAAACCCCAGGGGCCAATCTTATCCTTAAAACCCTACTGCAATAAATCAGTCCTCCAGTTTATATCACCTTCCAAAAAAACATATTCTGTTAGACAAAGTTTCTTTGAAGAGAGAAACTTTCTAAAAAGGCAATTTTCTACAGATAAAAATATGGGAAAGAGTTTTTTTTTTATATTTTCAATTATTAATTTACATCTTTCTTTCATTAAATATATAAAATTATTTAAAACTTTATTTGGAATTTCATCCTATTCTTTTATTATAAATTGTTTTAATTATAAAATATTTTTTAATAATCTTATTTCTATATTTCTTTTAGTAATAGTCCAAAGGTTTTTAATAAGGTTTAAATTTGAGCTATTAGAAGACCAATCAATAATTTCAGAAAAATGTTCATTTCAAAATTCTTTAGCAATTTTATTTGTATACTTAGGATCATTATCTTATTGAAAGTGCCAATTGTTTCCAAGTAGTCTATTAATTTCTTGTTTATGATTTTACAAAATTTTGATATAAAATTTTGAATTCATAATTTCTTTAAAACAAAAAAAAGAAGTTTTTCCTTTTGTACAAAATCTTTCCCATGCAAAGATTTTAGTATGATCTTTAGACATTCTTTTAACTAGTCTTGTACCTTAATATCATTGAGTAATTGTATTTCTGAATAGTTAAAATGCTGTTACATTATAAAATAATATTTTTTTCCAGTTATAATCAAGAAGGTTTTTTGTCCAAATAACATAAGCTTTTTTATAAGCAGTAGTAAATATAGGTGTTTCTAAAAATAAATTATTTTTGTAACCTATATTGGCCAAATGTCTTAAAATTGTTGCATGTAATACTTTGGTATTAATATTTAATAATTTAATTGCCAAAGTTCTTGAGGAAAGCCTTGAATTATGATATAAATATTGATCAATTATTTTATATTCATGTGCTGTAATCTTTTTAGGATGACCCTACCAGATTTTCTTGAATTATTACCTTTTGAATTCAATTTTTTTTTATTATAATAGATAGTAAATATGTTTATACCAGTTTTGGAATAAATTTAATATGCATAAGTAATTCTATTATTTCACAAATGTAATATAGTTAGTTGTTAAATATTTTTTTTAAAAGGTAATACTGTAAAAATAAGTTTGTAACAAAAGTAAAATGATCAAATAATTTTAAGTACTTATATATATTGTTTGGAATATATTATTTGCATATTTAAAATTTCACATGAATTGTTTTTGTTTTGAAAAAGTTATATGTGTTTATATAATATAAATAATATTCCAAATTTTTTTGCTTCATACTATATGTATTTTATATTGAAGAATAACTTTACTCTGTATATAAAGTAAGTTTAATAATAATAAAAAATTTTTATATGTAACTACTATTAGTAATTAATTAAATTAAATATAAAAATTTAATAATTGTTATTTTAAAAAACTGAACATTTTAATAAATAAAACTTTAAATATCAGATTAAAATTTATAAAACTTATATTAAATACTTTAATATATGCTAATTAAAATTTATTAACATTAAATTGCTTTTTAAAACAGTAGTTATAAAAATCATATAAGTATTAAAATTTTTATAAAAATTTTTGTTGAGAAAAAAATCAATAAATGTAATAATAAAAGTTTGTTCAAATTTAATAAAAATTTAATAATATATAAAATCTATTATGGAACAAGTTTACTTAATACATAAAAGTTGGTTTTATTAATAAAATAAAATGTTTAATATCTGACAACTATTTCATTTAATTATAATAATTTTTAAATAGTTCTTCATTTATTAGGAGGGACTGTATATACAGTATATATATATGATTAAATGTGTCTTATCTTTAAAAAAATATTTTTTTGATGTAATTTGGTAAATCAGTTTGATTATAATAAATAAATTTTTGATTGTCATTTTTTTGCACCATATTGTATATAATAAAAAATCATTTATTTCATATAAAAATTTACAATTAATTTATTTAATTTTGTAAAAATAATAATATTTTATAAATATAATTATAAAATTTATATTATTTTATCATTAACTTTTAAAAGCATCAAGTAAAAAAATTTTTTATCAAATAATGAAAACAAATTTTAAATTAAAAAAATTTTAAAATAATATCAAAAAACAAATTAGAATAAATTAATATAATTATTTATAAATAAAATATAATTAAATAAATCTACCTTAAATGTACTCAATATGTTTTGTTTCTCTAAATGTATGGACAAGCTTGATTCCAAATATATAGACATTTACGAAAATTATTTTTCCTAAACATATCCTCTTTAAGTTTATGCTTTTCTAAAAATTTTCATATTATCCCAAGGGGATGTATTTTAGAAAAGATTTACTGTAATTTATTCTCTGTAAAATCTTTGAACGGGAATCAATAAAAGGAAGTAAAATCACGAGAACTACATACCTTTCGTTCATCCATTTTAAAATCATTGTTGCCTTACATAGGTCGGTAAATCAATCCAATTTAGATTAATTATTGTAATTTTTGATTAAACCAGTTAACCATACACCGAACATTTATAGAGTTGACTACTGCATTAATTGATTCGTTTCTTGAAGTTCTTTTTTTTTAAAACATTCTTGTCGGCTTTAAAAAATAATTACAAAATTCCATAGGATTTATTAACACATGGCCTTGCCAACCGCATGGAACGTTTATGATAAATCTACTTTTTTAGATGTCGATATTGAAGGGCTTAGAGTAGCTTACACAGGTAATATTCAAATGAAAGTATATTTATTGTATGAATCTTTGATAGCCTTTATTAACTCTTCAAAAAAAAAAAAGACCACGATGGAAGTAGAAATCCTGCCGCAATAAGGTCAAATTTTCCTATTGCTCCGAAATGTGGATTATTTTATTTTGAAGTTACCATTGTAAATGAAGGAGACAATGGGTAGGACGTAATGCTTGTGTATCCTTCATTCTAATAATTTCTTACATTTTTCTTACGTATTAAAAGAAATATCGGAATTGGACTGTGCACAAAAACAGCTAATTTAAATGCGATGCCTGGTGACTTTAAAGTCCTTTTCTATGCGTTTAACCATTTATAATTCTATTATTCATCATATTATTATCATTACACATAATATTAAGGATGGGAAGATGGCTCTTGGGGTTACCATGGTGATGATGGAAAATGTTTTCACTCGTTAGGAGTTGGTAGAGTGTATGGGCCGTTGTTTACTACTGGTGATACTATTGGATGTTGCTTGAATTTTCTATACAATACGGTATTTTACACGAAAAATGGAGTGCATCTTGGTAACAACTATTTTAGTTCAAATTAAAAGGGTGTATTTTTATTA